AACATTTTAAATCATTAATAAAAGTTATCATTTGATTATTGATTACAGGTTTTGCAGATTGAAGTTGTCTGCAAAAAACATGTTTTCTAGTCTAATTAAGGTTAACAATACATGTTGATTATGCCTAGCTAAACAGCCAAATAAAGTTGTGATCCATTGGAACTTGATCAATATTGCACCTGATTGTTGTGGTAATTAACATTCACATGTTATTTAAGAAACCAACAGAAGAAAACAAATTACAGAAAACGGTTTAGTCTACTTGCTAGATTGTTTGAGAGGTGTATCCCTGCTGCATAAAGAAATTGAAATATCACACAAATAACATGGAAAATAATTTCGTGATGCAGGCTCGGTCATCCAGTTAAGGAAGTGGTAGTGAAGGACATAATGTTTTCAGTGGGAGAAACGGTGAAACATTTCTCATTTAAATTTAAAATATTTAAAAATACTGCATAAGTGTAATTTTTGATCATATGAAAAATGACACTTAAAAAGGGAAACTACAAATTACTACAAATTCCTGAGAACTCCCAAAGAAAAGACAGATCTAATGAACATTGTAAACACCTATTTAAGCTTAAAAAACTACTCAAAAGAGTCCGTGATAAGCTTGTTTTAATTTCCCATTGTTGTAATGGAAAGAACATTAAGAAATATAACTTTATGTTTTCAACTATCATTGAACAGTATAGCCAGTGACACAGAAACTCATCTGCATCCTGATCGTCAAAGTTCATAGTTCATTGTAATGTGTGAACTACAGAAAGAACGCATTAGGTTTTCTTGTCCTTGATGACATTGCCTTCCCACATTAGGAAGGCACCAACCCCGCCTTCCTAATGTGTGAGTCAACCAATAAGACCACACCCTCCACGATGATGACATATAAGTGCAATGCAACGTGTGGTGTTACGTCTCATCTAGGGGGTTGTGACCCATGAAAAAGCATCAACTTTCCCCAAGTTTCAGGCAGCAATAGAAACAACTTATCAACAATGAATATATGTTATATTTATAATCAACAGATTTAAGAACACAGGCATTTAGCATAATGTTAGAGTGAACTAAGGCCAAACTTACAAACAAACAAGGCTGTCTACTGATATTAAAAAATAAGATATTTTACGAGAAATGGCCTAGTGAGCTGTGCCAAGCTTGAAGTCAAAGTTTTCTTTGCAACAAAAATATCTATATTTTATGGTTATGTTACAAGTTTTGATTCACATTGGCTGGACGTACCACATTTTCATTAATTTTCCTGTTTATTTA